ACACAGCAAAAAAATAATTTTGATATCACGTCAAAGTGGATGCACTACAATCATGTCGAAAATATGGTGTAATATTACTTGCTAAAAGGGACAAAATTATCATTAATACAATGCATGAACTGACATTACGCTGCTTTTACTGCATTTGTTTATTTATGTGGTCATAAAAATTACATGAAATTTTCGACATGATTGTAGTGCATCCACTTTGATGTGATATCAAAATTATTTTTTTGCTGTGTACCCTAGCGTGCCGAACAGTGTGCCATACTGTGTTTGGGCACAGCGCGCAGAGTTGATTACCCCTTGCACAGCTGCTTGTGTCGACAGCTAAGAGCGAACGATATTGAAATAATAAGGTATAGTCGAAAATAATATCGAGAAATTGTGGCAATATGTGATAGAGACCCGAGGGGGGGTGGTTAATTTTGGGTAACTTTGCGTAACATAAATAATTAATGAACGCTCGTCCAACATGCCAAGGCAAGAAGCGGTCTAAAGTCGTTCAATAAGTAGAACGAACCGAACCGAAGTCAAAAATAGGAGGCATCCTTCAAACCGGAGGCTGGAAAGTTAAAGAAATGAATCATCCTAAATGTCAAGAGACTAGAGATGGGCGAACGCTCACGAACCGCTTATTTGATCCGGTTCGAGAAAAAGAGCGAACGAACCACGGTTCTACAAAATTGAACCGCGGCTCTCAAACGAACCACAGCTCAAAATTGAGCAGCACCTCTCAAATGAACCGCAGCTCTCAAACGATCCACAGCTCAAAATTGAACGGCTGCTCACTATGGCCGACAACATAGTAGAAGCGATTCGAAGCGATTCGATTCGTTGGCAATAAGCGGAGCGCTTGCGTGAAAGCACCCTCTATGAGCGTTCTATGGGAATCGCCCAAACCAGCCATAGTGAAAGCGATGCGAAGAGGTGTAAAGCGTTCAGCAAAGCGACAGAGCTGTTCGTGTTGTGTTTTGACGCCTTCGAACGCAAGTGGACTGATTCTAGTGAGGAATAACAAATTTGAACAAATATTTTGCACTGCGCGCTCGACTGTAATGTTTTCAAAAACGCTTTCACTATGTCATAGGTTGCTTCGCTTGCCGCTGCATTTCGCTTTGCCAATTGCTATCTCATCGAATCGCTTCGAATCGCTTCTACTATGTTGTCGGCCTATGAGAATGACGCACGAACCACGATTCAAGAGCCCCGGCTATAGCAAATTAAGCCGCTGCTGTCAAATTCTGATTTCCCATTCGCTGATGTTCGCTCTTTTCTTCAAGCGTCTCTCTCGCTTATGCCAACCAGAAGAAAATATTCACTCATTCTGCAGGTACCTGTTTTTTGTTTATGTCTCTTTTTTCTCTTTTCGTTTTCACTCGTGGGAAGAAAAGAGCTAGACGAAAAAAAGCGACTCGTAGATGAATGAATGCTGCTGTTTAAAATCTCGTTTGTTTGGTTTGCTTGTGCGAGTATAGTCCATTCCATGTGCGCGAGTATTGATGGTCCGAAAGCGAGTATAACAATAACAAACCAACATTTTTTTTTTCTTTGGATTTGTCTTTTCAGACAGGCTAAGACCATGGCTGGTCCATCTAGCCAAAACCAACATTTTTGTCTGGAGCGAAAGTGAGGATCACAAAGTTCACACTTGAAATGGGATTACGCAAGTGTGCGTGTTGGACACGTCAGAAAGGTCAATTGCAACTCGGGATACGTAAGAGCAAATCGACAGTGAGCATTCATAAGGGCGAATACGCGATGATCGATTCTCTTCATCGATTTTCTCTTTGCATTGCAACAATTTTCTAGAATTTGTTCAATGCAGAGTAGTAACAGGTTGTATTGGCTATCAAAAGCAACAGCAAACGCATCGAGAAACGTTAAATCTAGCGAGTTATTAACAAAAGAGAAAATCGACGAAGAGAATCGATCATCGCGTATAGGCCCTTATGCATGCTCACTGTCGAAATCTCTATTTCTACGCAATCGAAAGTGTGAGAATTTTTTTTTTTAACAATAATTTGCAATTTTAACCATTGTCCTCTTCCTTAGGGCCATGTTAATAATGAGTACAAGTGCGATTTGGTATCACTTTGTTCGGAAAGACAACGGCAACATGCCGCTACTGCAAAAAAAGTCTGGCGTTGTCGGGAGGATCGACGGGAAATCTGAGGCGGCATCTATCCACGATTCATCCAACAATTTCCATTGACAGAGGACAGTCAGCTCCAGGTGGAAGGTTCGAATCCAGTGCAATACAGGAATCAACAGAGACTCATGAAAATGTTGCTACCGTAAGGGCTTCATCATCTGTACCATCGCCCAACATCTGTACCATTGCGCGTCCAAAATCGGTTCCTCAGTCGTTAATAACGAATTTTGTTGAGATTACCAAACCAATGTCTGTCCAAAAAAGCAGATCATTTGACATTCAATTGCTCAAGATGATCTGCAAGGAATTTCACCCCTTCTCACTTGTCGAAGACACAGAATTCAAAAAATTTGTAGGAATGTTATGTCCTTCCTATAAACTTCCCAGCAGAAAAAACACTCACAAATAGCCTGTTACCGACTGTTTATAACGATCTCCTATCCGCAGTGCAAAAGTTACTCGAAGATGCTCCCGCAGTTTGTATTACATGTGATGGTTGAACCAGCATGAATAACACAAGCTTTTACGCGTTAACTGCTCATTTTTTTGACTCTAAACCGGTGCTCAAATCTGTTCTCGTAACTGATAATGCGTCAAATATGAAATCAACCGCCACACTTCTCGATGTACCTCGTTTAGGGTGTTTTGCACATTCGCTCAACCTTGTCGTCCAAACTGCCATTACAACATCTATGAAAGCTGTTGTTGATAAAAGCAAAGCAATCGTGCAATACTTCAAAAAAAGTAGCCATGCTCTTAGCAAGCTCCATGAAATGCAGCAGAAACTAAACAAGCCGCAATTAAAGTTGAAACAAGACGTTCCAACTCGTTGGAATGCCACTTACGATATGTTGGATCGAATCCTACTAAATAGGGAGGCTGTCGTGTCTGCTTTGGCACTTTTGGAGTCTAACTTGTCCTTGGAATCTGACGATTGGATAGCGATCGAACATTCAGTTAAAATTCTCAAAGTATTTTACGATGTAACGGTTGAAATATCCGGGGAGAAAACTGTATCGTTGTCTAAAACTGCTGTGCTTTCGCGATTAATGACCCGACATGTTCGACAGTATCTGGAGCGGGAAAAAAGAATTCCGGAGATCATTGAAAAGCTCTGTAATCAACTGACTGCGGGACTGGAGAAGCGTTTTTCCGGTCTAGAGTCAAACGAGCTGGTAGCGCAATCGATACTACTGGATCCTCGCTTCAAAAAGCAGGGGTTCGGAGATGACAGCAAATACAACTATACATACCAGTCGTTGATAGAGAAGTTGAGAATGACAGACGTAAAACCGACGTCTTTGGAACAACCAGATAAAACCAGTAGTGATGAAGCACAGTCATGTGTATGGGAGGAGTTTGACGAGCTGGTCGGGAAACTACAAGCCGCGCATGATCCATCAGTAGCTGCAATCGTGGAGGTGGATAAGTACCTAGCCGAACCACACTTGCTGAGGATGAGCGACCCATTGTTATGGTGGGAAGAAAGGAAATCTATCTATCCTAGACTCTACCAAATGGTTTTGAAAAGGCTGTGCATTCCGACCACTTCGGTTCCTTGTGAAAGGATTTTTTCAAAAGCGGGACAGATCTGCAGTGATAGACGCAGCAGACTTACATCGGGAAACATGGAGAAAATTATGTTCATAAATCAAAACTTACATTGAAATACTATGTAATAGACATGTATTAGAGAAATCACATCAATAAACACACATGTGTGTTATTCTTTTCATTAAATACTGACTTAAACTTCATCTTACTTGTCTCTTCCTTTATTAATCGATCCGAATTTACCATTTATTTAAAAAGAGCCGGTGAGCCATTCAAATGAGCCGGTTCATTAAATTGAACACATGGTTCTGAGCCGCTCACTGTAATGAACCGTTTTGCCCACCACTACAAGAGACCAGGCCTATCGAAAGCTTTTTTGCCATGTGAAATGAATATCTCAGCGAATTAAATCGAACAATAATAGGGACTGGAAAAATGTGGCCAAAACAAACGAAAAGGAGAGTGCGACTCCCTCATAGTGGTTAGCATACATACCTCTCACGCCGAAGTCACGAGTTCAAATCTCACCCCCGGACAAATCACGAATGACCCAAGAGCGTAAAAGTAACTATAATTAAAAAAAAACGACGCTCTAAAGCTCCAGGGTGTAACGTCAGATTAAAATTTTGGTTCTTGACGTACGAGTGACATAAAATCGCGAACAAATTTCATCCAATTGCAAGACCTGCATGAAACAATTGAACAAGAAGTGTGTTTATTTCAGTATCAAACCGTGCTTACACTTTCTGACACTCCTTTTATCCCTATATGCCGTTACAGCAGTGCATTCATTCTACAAAGTAAGCAACTACACCTGAACACAGCGAGTACTCCTAGCACGTCATCAACATCATCGGTATCAGCGTTCATTATTGAACAGCTTGTACCTTGTCAACCGACTACCAAGCGGCCGCGTCTAATTCAACATCATATCATCCCATACTAGACTACGCTCGCTTCGCTACCCCTAAAGTGGACCAGAGCGAGAGGGAACCTGATTCACCCCGAAAAGCAGTATAAATGCAGCGCGCGAGGTTCGCTTCCGAACAGTTATTCGTCAGTCGTAGAAACTATCAATCGCGTGTGTCCTCTCCGCTTGTGTGAATCAGCTGGAAAAACGGTTTCGAGCTGAGTCGGTTCTTTCTTTGCAACTTCGAGGAAAATTGTCGCCGTCGGTTGTGCGGGTGTAGTCTGAAGGATAATAACAACATCCTGCTGTGTTTGCGGAAGAAGTGCACAACGCAAGTCTGTTCCGACGAGATCGACACGTTATCGTCATCAACATCAGTAGACAAGAGCCGTTTGATTCAAATAGATTGAAAAGTGAGTGTGATCCCTTTCTCATTTCCTTTGCTTGCAATTTTCTACCCACTTTGTACGCATCGCACAATTTACATAACCGAAGGAATTAGTAAGGTCAGTGAAATGAAAACCTATTTTTGCAACCGGTGCCAATAGTGAGAGTGTCGGTAGTAAACAAAAACAGAGATGATCGTCGGGACTAAAAATATGGGGGAAATTCGACGACGACGACGACGACATTGCGATCGATTTAAGGCAGCAGGAAATTGCATTCTATTTGGAGAAGTGCCGAGCGTAGGCTTTATCTGTCGTTCGCCCTGCCGATAGGGTGTTCCAGTCCCGGAGATGTGGACAAAGACGATTAGTGTTGTGACAATGTGTGCAGTGGACAAACAAGTAAAAAGAAAGGGTCTTAGCCCTCCGTCAATATTGTAATCGGTGACACGTAGTGAAATGAGTCACCCATGGCACTGTGGTACCGTAATCCAGGGACAATTCGGTCACCGGGGTGAAATTGATCATTATGCGTTGGGTTTTTTAGTTGTGATTTGTAAAATTTTCGATGATAGATTTCAAGAGAAATTTTGGTAGCATTTCATCGTAAGACTCCAATGATTGCCTTGATGAGTTTCTCATAACAAAAATGTATATTTTACTGAAAAAAAATTCAAAGTTCTTTAGCTGGCGTTCAATTAAATATTTGCATTCAAACAAACGTTCAAACTTGAATGTTGTGTTTTTCATTGAACCAAGTGGAACTTTGAAATTATTCAAATATTAAGAGATCAACGGTTTCTCGCGAAAATTCCAGTGATTGTTTAATAAATTGCCTACTTTTAGGCGCTACTGTGCATTCTAAGAGATCTTTTAAAATTTCTGTTGAAAATTCACTGCGCACAAGGGTTTTAGCATCTGATTCAGAATCAGGGATCTCAAATTTTATAAGAACAAGTCCTAAAAAGTAAGTCAGAAGCAATTTAAGGGGTTGATCAATTTCACCCCATATCGATGTTTTAAAATTAGTGATTCCAAAAATGTCCCAAAAATTAACAAAACATCCTATTTGAAAAGCAATCTTGCAGAACGATAGAGTACTCAAAGCTACTAATTTTAACATCCTAATGCATTAGGATCAAAAAAGATGTTTGAACCGATTCTTGATCTATTGGCCTCAAATGAAAGATGAAGGTTCCTAGGATGGCACCCTGCCCAGGATTTCTCCAATTTGGCCATTTAGACTACCTGGTACCGGCTCCGATAGCGCACAAAAGGACACTTCCAAAACCTCATCTACTGGTATGGTATCGTCCGACGGCTCAAAATTAATAACTTTTCATCCAGAAGTAAATAGAAATCATGCCATGGACCAACAGATTGATCAGGCCACATCCGGATACCCGGATACCTCATGTAGTGGTACCGTCCAAAAGGCTAAAAATTTGCCATTTTTCACCCAGAAGTAAATAGACATCATGCCATGGACCAACAGGTGGATCTGGCTACATCCAGAAACCCAGAACCGATTCCGGCAGGGCCCCAAATAGGACACATCCTAAACCTCATCAACTGGTACCGCCCGACGGTTCAAAAGTTATGATTTTTCATCCAGAAGTAAATAGACAGCATGCCATGGATCAACAGGTAGATCTGGCCACATCTGGATACATGGAATCGGTTCCGGAAGGGCTTCAAAAAGGACACTTCCAAAACCTCATGTATTGGTACGGCTCAAAATTTATAATTTTTCATCCAGCAGTTAATAGACAGCCCAACAGGTTGATCTGGCTACATTCAATTCCGGTTCCAGTAGGGCTCAAAAAGGACACTTCCTAAACCTCATGTACTGGTACCGTCTGACAGCTCAAAATTTATGATTTTTCATCCTGAAGTAAATAGAGCTAATCTTCGAGTTTTACACTACTCATCTGGAGACAACAGAATGGTTTCTAATTTTTGATGATCTTGACCGGGCGTTGGAAATTGCCATTTTTCTGTTAGAAACCTATCCTGTGACAAATAAAACAGTTCATAATTTTGTTTTTATAATAGATACTATAAACTTGTTTGCCCAAAATGACACGTGGCCTTTGATAATCGTTGCCAAAAAAGATGTAGTCGCAATCACCAAAAAGCCAACAATAAATAGATTTGAATTCAACGCATGTATCTCAATCGATATTTTTAAACATTTTTCGAAACTGGTTCTGGGTTCCGGATGTGGCCAAATCCACCTGTTGGTCCATGGCATGATGTATTTTTACTTGTGGATAAAAAATCGTAAATGTTGAGCCATCGGACGCTTCCAGTACATGAGGTTTTGGAAGTGTCCTTTTTGTGGCCTTACCGGAACCGGTTCCGGGTATCCAGATATGTTTATATCAACCTGTTGGTCCATGGCATGATGTCTATTTACTTGTGGATGAAAAATCATTAATGTTGAGCCATCGGACGCTTCCAGTACATGAGGTTTTGGATATGTCCTATTTGGGGCTCTACCGTAATCGGGTCTGAGTACCGGATGTGGCCAGATCCACTTATTTGTTCGTGGCATAATGTCTATTTACTTCTGCTTGAAAAATCATAAATTTTGAGCCGTCGGACGATACCAGTACATGAGGTTTAGAAAGTGTTTTGACGTAGGACTACGTCTGTGATTTCTATATAGGGATACACTTTGTGAAAACCGAAAATGGAACATGTAACAAAATCATGAAAGATTTTGAACGTTAATAACTCAGCTGCCTCTGGACCAATTACAATAATTTTATCACCAATGGATCAGAAATATTTCTACGCATCTGTTAAACTGAAGACTTTATCAGTTTTCAAAATGTAATTATTGAAAATTGCTCGAATGTGCAATTGTTGCTATGACAATTAAAATTATCATCGATTGCCTGCGAAAAGCGATTTCCCTAACACAGATTGCAAAGTTGAATTCCATCCGGTCTCACCAAACGATGTTTATTCAATCGCCGCGTGGTGAGTGGTGGTGTTCTTCAGTACACAACGAAAGGATCCCCGCAAGCAGCTAGCTATCAAGGCTGCCCTGAACCGCTGATCGGATTCAGTCCAATCACCGTGTGTGGTGGTGTTCAGTCGTCGGCATCTGCAGCGGCAGTGCTTTCGGCGCGTTGCGTAGAACGTTGTTCTTCAGCACACAACGAAAGGCTGCCTGCAAGCAGTGGGCTGCAGCCCACATCTATGCTAAGCGCGTCACCTCCATTCCAAACAACATACAGCTCACCAGCATCATATGTGTTTAACACCCTAATAGCTCAGCATTACTCAACCATCACGACAAAACGGTCCTTTTCAGGACCACCATAAATTTGTAAAAGAGTATTTTTTTGAAATTTATCGGATGTCAGTTCCCATATCAATATAGAGCTGGAATTAGAGCGTAATAGCTTATGTAAACAATGACTTCTTTCGACGATGTCTTGAAAGTCAAAGCTCGCCCAGGCAAAATCAACATCACCATGAGGTAGGATAAGACTTCCCCTACCCGACGGTAGTAATGTTGGTTTGCGTGGACGCGCCTTGAATTCCTAAAAATCATCCAGAGAAGTCATTGTTTACAAAGGCTGTTACGTTTGCTATGAAAATTAAAATGATCACCGATTGCCTGCGAACAACGATTTCCCTAGCACAGATTTCAAAGTTAAATACCATCCGGTCTCACCAAACGGTGTTTATTCAATCACCGCATGATGAGTGGTGGTGGTGTTCTCCAGTCACAACGAAAGGCTGCCTGCAAGCAGTAAGCTGCAGCTCACATGAGCATCCATAGAAGGAGGAAGACGCCGCACCGAGATCGGAATCAGTTGCTTTTCGTGAGTCGTTGTGGGCCATCTAAAGAGTATAAACAGAGAGAACTCCGCTCAAATTCCTATTCATACACAAAACACAAGCTCCTGCTGAAGTTAACAAATAAGATTTATTATTTAAGACCACGTAGTCCTACGTCACCATTGCGTACAACCCCATAGGGCTGTCCCTTGTAGTTTTTTTTTTTGTTCCTGCTGGAACTGGTTCCGGGTATTCAGATGTGACCAGGTCCACCCGTCGGTCCATGGCATAATGTACATTTACTTCTGGATGAAAAATCATAAATTTTGAGCCGTCGGTCGGTACCAGTACATGAGGTTATGGAAGTGTCCTGTTTGGGGCCCTGTTGGAATCGATTCTAGGCATCCGGATGTGGCCAAATCCACCGGTTTGTTTGTGGCAAGATATATATTTACTTCTGGATGAAAATCGTAAATGTTGAGCTATCGAACGCTTCCAGTACTAGGGTTTTGTAAGTGTTCCAGGTATCCAGATGTAGCCAGATCCACATTTCGGTTCATGGCATGATGTCTATTTACTTCTGGTTGAAAAATCATAAATTTTCCGCCGTCGGGCGATTCCAGTAGATGAGGTTTAGGATGTGTCATATTTGGGGCTGTGCCGGAATCGGGTCTTAGTACCGGATGTGGTCAAATCCACCTATTTGTTAGTGGCATGCTATCTATTTACTTCTGGTTGAAACATTATAAGTTTTGAGTCGTCAGACAATACCTCCCAGGTAACCAACAAGCCCGCTAATTCGCCTTTTTGCAATATAAGGCTAATATGCGGTTAGCCTTGTATCAGTCTTATATTGCAAAAAGGCGCTTTAGCGGGCTTGTTGGTTACTTGGGCAGTACATGAGGTTTTGGAAGTGTCCATTTGTGCCCTATCAGAAGCGGTGCGAGGTATCCTAAAACGCCAAATTGGGAAAATATTGGGCAGAGTGCCATCCTAGGAACCTTTACCTTTCTTTTGAGGCCAATAGATCAAGAAACGGTTCATTAATTTGATTTTTTGAGAGCGAGTTGCATTCTGGGTCGTTTTAGACCCTAATGTACAACGTGTCACTTTTTTGTAGCCCCACTCCTAGAGGTCGCTGAAAGCTTCTCTTGACAGCAAAATGTTCGTTTTCAAAAGTTAGGAAAAGTGAGAAAATTTCGGGTGTCTATCAAATTTCCACAGACAAA